GTGGTCGTGGTTTCCTGTAGGGAGAGGGACTCTCCCTCCAAGCAATAACCGCCTCCCCACGCGCCTTTCTGTCCTCCACGCCTCAAGCAAGGTTAGTGTTCTCTCTCTTCATACTGTACTGTACTTTGTGTCATATTTTTGTGGTTTAAAAAAAAATATACATATGGTTCAGAACGGATTAACCGTATTTACAATGAACCTTATGGGAAAATTTGATTCGGGTCGCGACCAGAGTCGTGGAATGAATTAAGTTCGTGACCCAAGGTACCACTGTATATGTAAGATTTATACCAAGGATAAACAACCTTTGGGGCTCTGAAGGCTGTAGCAGCTTCCTGATCACATATTAGGGGCTGCCTTTGCACATCACAGAGCATGAACACCCTTACACAAAAGCCAGCAATGAGAAAGGATTTTTAGTCCTTTCTGTTGTGAATAAATGAGAACCCTCATGGTTTCCCATTCCTCCCGGCAAAGCAACTAGTGATAGAGATGTAGCAAAAGCAGGAAAAGAGAAGCCAAGCCAAACCATCCTTTGAAGGGGTTCTAGATTTTTGCAATCAACTGATTAGTGGCTTGCCTAGAACCTAGAAAGGTTATGAGAACTTCAGCAGGCCACACATATCATCCAGAGGCTTTCAATCTTTGGGCCATGCTCATTCCTGCTTTATATAGCTCGGCTCTCTAATGAACTATACTCCATTCTAAGCTAAGGCACAAACTGCTACTGTGATGGTCTTATCTTTAAAGAAATTTTTATACAGCAATAACTTTTACTAAATGTAATGTTTTGATTAAGAACTGAAAAGTCTACCTTGAAGATTTCTATATACAGACACAAAGCATGTACAAAAGAATGTAGAAAGATGGGGAAAAAAACAAGGAAAGAATGTTATCTGTTCAGCACATGTTAACAAAAAAGAATGAGAAAACACCACTCAACACATCTGACACCGAGCAAGCTAAGTCTTCATTGCTGAAATGTCCTTTATTCTGTTTCTTTTAAAAACTAAATCATAACCACAAGGGAAAACTAATCTATTTGATCAAGATGTGTGGCTGCCTGTCTGGCAGCAAGAACACACTGCTGAGCTACAGAGATTTCAGATATCAATAGAAATGCGAAATGACTTGGAGCTCAGGAAAAAGGAAGTATTGCCTTGAGTTTAAGACACAAGATTGGGAGTCAGCCGTCCTCATTTCATTCTTTGCCTGTGAGGACAGACAAGCCACTTATCTTCCTAGCCTTTAACCAAACTTTGTGAAAGAAAACACACATGCTCTTTTCCATATCCTTGTATTTGTCTGAGGTTTTGCTCCTAATTCATATCCATTACTCACATGTATTTAAGTAGTGGGTACAGTGCCAAGAGTAAAGTTAGGCTCACAGCTTATGTAAGGGCATCTCCAAATATTTTTGAAACAACACTATATGGGCAGCTATACTGTTAGTTCACTGCATATGGTGAGATATCCTTTTTCTAGGTGATGGGCTAACCACAGCTTGGGCTCAAGTCTTCCTGTAAACATGATCAGGATAGCAAAAAAGCAGACACACACTTATGCCACAGCAAGCATGATCCCATTAGTCTTGAGGAAGTGGACACGGGTGGATCAATGCCCCTTCTGGCTGGCAAAGACTGCCTGGGAGATACGATATAGTTAGGTCTGGGCAGTGGTGAATGCATTGTTGAGAGAGGGAGCAGTGGTCCACTCCCTCCTCAAGAACCCATGCCTAGACCTGTTTTAGACAACCTTTGCCTTTGCCTAACACTCCTTTTTAAGGAATGTTATTGAGAAGATGGTTGCCTTGCAGCTTCAGAGGCCCCTGGATGAAACTGATTATCTGGTCCCCTTCCAGTTGGGTTTCAGGCTGAGGTATGGAAGTGAGATGGCATTGGACACATTTGTGGATGACCTCTGGAGGGATCAGGATGGGGGTATTGCATCCTTGATCTTCCAGCAGCCTTCAATACCTCCATGGTATCCTTCTGGACTGGCTCCAGGGGTTAGGAGTTGTGGGCACAATATATGCTGGATCTCACCTATACTTCAGGGTCAATTTCAGTCAGTGTTGATGGGGGGGAAGAGGTCTGCCCCACAGCCTCTCTTATGTGGGGTGCTTTAGGGCTCAACTCTCTCTCCACTCTGTTTAACATCCATATGAAACCACTGGGTGAGGTCATTTGACAGCATGGTTGAGGTATCATCAATATGCTGGTGATATTTGGCTATATATCTCCACCTCTGGACAGCCAAGTGATGCTTTGGAGGCTGTTTCAGAGCCTGGAGCCTGTGGGGATTTGGATGGGGATGAGCAGGCTTCAGCTCAATCCCAGCAAAATGGAGAATTAGGGCATTAGAGCCTCCTGGATCTGGTGATTCTCCATCCTTACTTCTGGATGGGATTGCACTACCCCAGACTGAACCTGCATGCAATTTGGGGGTTCTCCTGGATTCATGGCTCCTGTTCAAAGAGCAGGTGGAAGCTGTAGTCAAGGAGACTTTGCACAGCTTCATGTTGTGCACCAATTGTGTACCTTCCTACATCAGGAGGCACTGAGCAGTTATTTATGCTTTGATCACCTCCTGAGTGGATTAGTGCAATGTGCTTTACATGGGGCTGCCATTGAAGAACATCTGGAAGCTTCAATTGGTCCAGAATGCAGTGGCATGGGCAATAATGGATGTGTCTCACTGTGCCCACGTTATACTTTTGCTAGGCAAGCTGCACTGGCTTCCAGTTTGCTTCCAGGTGCAATCCAAGGTGCTGGTTATTGCCCATAAAGCCAAACATGGCTTGGGACCAGAATATTTGAAGGACTGTCTTACTTTATTGTTTCTACCCATCCCAGTAGGTCATGCAGGAGGCGCATTCTCCAAGTCCCAGCTATTAGAGATTGTCATTTAATAGAAGCAAATATGTGTAGCTCACGGTTGAACTGTGGAGTCCTTGGGGTTCTCTGAGCTTGGTTGTTTTCTTGCAAACAGTTCATTACCCATTTACATTATTACATTACACCCATTACAGTGACGGTTGAACTGTGGAGTCCTTGGGGTTCTCTGAGCTTGGTTGTTTTCTTGCAAACAGTTCATTACCCATTTACATTATTACATTACACCCATTACAGTGCACTGAAGATGTTACCTAGCCGGATAATGAAACGTTTGCAAGAAAACAACCAAGCTCAGAGAACCCCAAGGACTCCACAGATTGTCATTTAGCAGGACCCAGGAAGCATGCCTTTTCAGTAACTGCACCTGCCTTCTGGAACACCAATAATGCCTGAGATTCAGCTGGCCCTAACTCTGCTCACTTTTCAGAAAGACTTGAAGACTTGCCTGTTTTTCCAGACATGGGGCCAGAAGAATAATCAAGCCCACACTATTGGAGAATGGTGTTTTCAGGAGCCACTTTGTGTTAGTTGGTTGGAAATTGTATTTTTTTATTTTTTAAATATATATTGCATGTATATCGTATTTTAATTCTTGCTAGCCACCCAGAATTACATTGGTGAGATGGGCAGCCATATAAATTGATATAAATATACAGCGAGAGATAGAGAAATCAAGCCCAACAAAGAGCAACTGAGAAAACTTGATAGATTTAGGATTGACAAAAGATATTGTATTTCAGTTCAGAGAGCCAGTTTGGTGTAGTGGCTAAGGTGCTCAGCTAGAAACCAGGAGACTGAATTCTAGGCCTCCCTTAGACATGGAAGCCAGCTGGGTGACCTTGGGCCAGTCACTCTGTCTCAGCCCAACCCACCTTGACAGGGTTATTGTTGTGGGGAAAATAAGAGATGGGCATATTAGGTATGTATGTTGCCTTGAGTTGATAAAAAATGAAGACAGGATAAATCAAATAAATAAATTTTCCATATACAAAAAGATGACACACAGAAAATGACAAGATTGCCTCAACATATAGGATATGGAATTATGGTTTTAATATGAAAGAAGTCATATTCTGATTGAATGTTCGGAAAATCTTCTTTAGAGTAAGACCTGTTTGTTAAACAATGGAACAAATAACCTTAAGAAGTGGTGGGCTCTCCAGTGCTGGATCTGTTCAAGCAAATAGTCATCTGGAAGGGATGCTTTAATTTCAATTCCTGCACTAACAAGAGATTGGATTTGGTCTAAATAGTCCTTCCAATTTTATGAATCAGTGTAACACATGGTATATTTATGTTTTCAAGCGGGTTTTCTTTTCCCTCCATCTGTCAAACTTAGACAACATTAAGAAGAATCTCTGTGCAAAGAAATGATCAGAAATAGTCCTCAAGACCATGGAAACAGATAATTTATCTCACCAGCTCAGAACCACCTGATTTTAAGCCACTGAAGTGCACAATATGAAACAGAACTATAAGGTGCTTATTTTTAAATAAGATATGCTTAAACCTTCAGGTGGGTCAGCTAAGCAGTGATGTCAGTTATGCATCTCATCTTTTTAAGTGCCTTGCTGAGATTGGACTTCATAAAATAGAGTTCATATGTCTCTGCAATGTGGCAAGGCTGTATTCATAAATGTTTAGTGCTCTCAAGTCCTCCAGTAATAGACATTAGAGAAATATTATCATTATGAAAGCCTTGAGTTGCACCAAGGCTGAAAGATTTGAACTTAAGAAAAGGTGATGTGGGTAAGACAGAAAAGGTACAAAAGTTAAAGCGGGGGGTGGGGGGGAGTCCAGGCATTAACAGAATGTAATCCCTCTCAAATATGTTGCTTGCACAGAAGGTGTGAAGAATACTGAAAACATTGTATGTTCTGGCTCCTATTTGTTGTAAACCTCCCAAAGAACACTGCAAAGAAAGGTAGCTTTTCTTGAAATCAGTGAATTAAAGATACCTGAGTGAAAAACTGCAGCATGTATTTTCTTAAGTGGAGTCAAGTACTAAGTGGGGCTTAATCTGTATTAAAGGCCAAGGCAGGATTCCAGTGGATGAAATAATAAAGAGAATGGAGTTTGTGCAAAGTGCTCCTCACCATAAATGCCCATATCACTTCTTTTGTAGGAAAACTGCACCATCGCCTTAGCATAAGGAGGGGCAGCTGAAGGTGCTCTAGGACCACATGCAGTCTCTAGAGTCTTCATGATTATGATTGCTGAACTACATTTCCTAGGATTTTGTCATGTTATCCACTATTTCGAAGTGGGTAACACAAACACTGTTGTATAAGTCCTAAAATAAAGACAGCAATTTTTTTTTTTTTAAAAAAGGAACTTCCCAATGGTGTATATTTGGTTCTTCTACATGGGTTCAACATTATGAAGAAAAAGATTTTGGATTGAAAATAATTTCATAAGAAACAATTCTAAGTAATCAGCATGTTTGGATTCATGAGCAGGACCTCCAGAAAGCACAAAATAGCATCCAAATAGTGGGAGGCTATAAGCACCTGTGCAAAATGTTCCCCAATTTTTCCTCCCTCTCCAGCTCTCTCTCCTACAGTTCCATTGTTTTATGAGGGCCTGATCATCTTCTACAAAAAATATTTTGGAGAATGCAAGGGCTCCACGGGGAAGAATATAATTGTACTTCACTGGATATTATTTATGATCTCTGGATGGCCCTGGTATCTTTTTAAAAAAACTGCTGCAAATTTATGTTAGAAAATAATGACACTTGGCAATCAAAGAAATAAATAAAAAGTCAAGAGCCACTGTAACTGTCAGATTATTGCAGATATAATGCAGACTCAATAAATAATAAATACCAGTGCTCATCCTAGAGGACTAAATCTTCCAAAGATATAAGAATTACCACATTTCATGCAAACTGGATTTCATGCAGCTCATTCAAAGACATAATAGGTTGCAAAACCCAATGCCATGCAGTAAATTCTATCATTTTATTATGTGCAGGCAAAGCCACAATGCAAATTGAAATTGTCCCTGATTTCTTGATCCTCTAAAGTTTCCCACCCAAGGCTTCCAATGAATTTGCAGATATATAACAAACAAACAAACAAACAAATATTTCACTTGTGGGGTCACTTTGTGATGCCCTACAGTAGTTGCCTTCCCACCAGCCAATAATCCCTGTAAGAAAGACAAACCCAGCTTCCTTAATGTGGTCTCTTCAATTGTGTTGGACTTCAACTTTGCCACTCCATACCACACGTTGATGGGAGTTGATGGAGAGAGTGCCAGTTGGGGAAGCTTGTAATAACTGATTATAGTGAAAAATGGGAATGCAGTTTTTGAAGTTCATTAGCGGTATCTTTCCTTCCTATCCACCCAGTCTCACTCTGGGTGACTATGTACCTGCTTAGAGAAAACTGGGTCTGCTATCTCTGTTTCAGTTGCTCTCAATCACTAAGAAAAGATGCCCACATCACAAGGAGCTGCAGATTCTCCTTCACCTTGATAGTCAGAGGGGGAAGAAGTATGAAAATAAACATATTCAACGTCTCATTTGGAGTTTTAAAAATGAAACAGCTGCCCAATATATGTAGCCTCTTGCCGTTTGATAAACGGCAAAGTAATTAATACCAAACACAGCTTTTCAGACCACATCAGTTCAGTTAGACCCTTAAATGTGACAATAGAAACAGACTTTTGTCTTTATATAATAGCTTAAGTGCTTGGGGAAGGGAAGAAAGTGACATTATCCTGCAAGAAGTGGGGGGGGGGGATGATGCCTTGTGAAACAGCGGGTCAAGAAATGGAATCCTCTGATAAGTTAGTCATCAAAGCAAATGTTACACAATATTAAGGAATAAAAACTTCACCTTGGGCAGAAAGTCTTACAGCATTCCATTTTTGCAGCTTTCTTTTTCTGACTTGCTCAACTAAAGAAGAAACAATATTTAGATATTATGAAATCTCTACTCATGTGATTCCAATGTATAAAAAGGTGTTTATGTACCATCCAATGAAATCATTAGATTAAAAAGTGCTGAATTGGATCCAGACTTCTACGAGTGATATTCTCATAGAATAAGTTGTTTCATATAAAGAACAACAATATACCTTAATTTAACATTTAGAAATACACACACACACATACATGTATTTCTCTTACATGTAGTATATATTATTACACACAGTGGTAAGGTTATTAGGATACATTAAAGAGTTTGTAAACAAAATTCTACTATTAGAAGAAAATATGCAGATATTGGTATTGGCTAAATTGAAATCTACAGTCATATATGAATGGGACAGTAAGTTGAGAAATATAGATAGGATACCAAACTTGGCAATTTCATCTATGAAGAATTAAAAATGAAGTTACTTTATAACCTCAACAGAACACTTTAATTTAAGGGTATAGTCCTATATGCATCAAAGTGAGTCCCACTAAATTAAATGTTTAATTAGATAAATACAAGATTGAGCTATGTTGCCTTAAATGATAAGTAGCAAGACATACATAATAGAAGTTATCTTTTTAATTGTTTTGTTCCATGTAAAGTGTCTTTAGAGCCTTCCAAGGTATATGAAATAAACCAATGAAGGGAAAATAATACATATTACAATACGTATCAATAATAACTAGAGGCCCTCCTACAAAATGTAAAATCTAAATTCTGTCACAGAAAATGAAATTAGGTAAAATCCTTCTTACTCAGTTTCCTGGTTTTTCTCACTTCACTTTTTAAGTTACCAGACTTGTCTGAAATGCCTAGAATATTGTCCAGCTCTCTGGTGCCCTCTAAAGCCTAAAAAACAGATTTTTTTAAAAAAAGTTAATCTGAGTGCTGAAGCTTTTAACTTAAAAATAACATTCTTTCCACTCTTTTTGCTTCATAGTTTAAATGGCTACACAAACATAACATATTACTAACATGTGATATTAAAAATATACCCAACATGATTAGCACAATGAAGTTGAAAGTCCTGGTTATAGTTGGCTGGTCAGAGAACTGAGAAACCAGGAATCCCATTCTGGATATGATTTGAAGTTTTTGCCTGCTGGGGAATCTTTGGATTATTTGGCCACCTCTCTTGGAACCAGTTAGATAGAATGAAAAGATCCCCATAACTCTGGCTTAACATTATGTACCAACATAGCCACATGAAGTACGGGGATGGTTGAACAGGGATTTCGATTCAGATGCTCCCCAATCCAAATTCAACATTCAGTCACTATATCAGAGATGCAACATTTTTGGGGCTAAGGGAAGCACCAGACTTCAAAAGCATGTCAGAGGCAGCACTGCAAAAGAGCAAGGTTACCTATATATTTTAAAGATGTTTTACTATTATTATTTATAATAAATTAAATTATTTAATTGCTACAGTTTAACGCATAGTCATCCCCATATTTTCAATTATTACCAACTTAAAAAAAGTTAAAAAGTATGAGCAACCCCTCCCCCAAATTCTCTTACACACACGTGCGCCTCTCAGAGAGTGGAAGTAGCAGGTGAAAGCAGAAGGGGGCAGCTAGTTAGCAAAGAATTTGTGAGGAGGTAGAGGGCTGTTCCAGACCCCCTAGAAAGCTGTAATGGGAAGAAGGAATAACACTGAGGAACAGGAGGAAGATCAACACGCAAGACAATGGTCAGATAAAAAAATCTAAATCCAGGGCAAAACTGTAACCTGAGTAAGCATCTCAGACAAGACCCTCCCTAGTGCTCACAAAGATAAAGGGAGGGAGAGGGGAAAAGCACTCAGGCTTGCAAGATTCTGTTACTATAACCTTATAATACATGTAGCACTAGCATGCACAACTTTGGTTTCCTAATCTGGTCTACCTTGAAGGGACGGCACAAGCACACACAGCCCCCAATTTCAGGTATGCATCTATGGAACATTTTGTATTTCCGCTGAACTCAATTCCGTACATTTCCACAATGAGAAAATGAAGAACATAAAGACTAAACTGGAATAAAGAAAAGAGCTCAAGAAAAAATAATTAACTGAATAAAGTGGAAAAGAATAATGATAGACCTGCAGATTGACTAGGTTTTTTCGGATCTTCAAGAATCTCTCTAGGGAATGTTCAACTTCAGACTGCAGTATCAAGAGTCTAAGTGAAAAGATAAATGTGACATTAATGGCACAATACTTGAAACAACAATAAACAAAATACAAACAAGCAAAAATAAGACTTTGCAGGTAATATTGGGCTTCTAGCAAACAACCTCTCCCTGCCCCAATTAAGGTTAAAACAACAATCATATAAAGTTGCAACATTTACATTATGGCATACATCTGAAAAATATTTCTAGTTTATCAGGTTTCCTTCCTGGATGCATTAAGGTTGCAAACATGCTTCAGTGTACTAATTTACTATCTATATCTTACCAGGTTACTCTATATCCCAGCGATAGTACTGTACATAAGGATGCCAACCAAGCCCCATTCCAAGTACATGGTTGTTCAAGATCAAGGAGAAAGCAAAGAGTGAATACAAGAACAGAGAAGAAAGAACAATGGAAAACACAGCACTGTTCTGAAGGCCATCAGAAGGTCAATCCTCAGCAGAAGCACAACACTGTACAAATGTATAAAGTGAAAGCTCAAGGAGCAATTGCTTGCTCTGAACAGCTGAAACAACCAAACTGATATTGTAGGACAAAGATGAGGATTCCACAGATGTTGCTAAACTACAACTATTAAACTCTCTCATCATCAACCACATTGGATGGGATTGCTGCCAAACCCAGTGCAACAGTATGTGAAGGAATATCAGTTTTCCATCCTTCTTGCAGGATAAGGCAACTTATTATGCAGGTAGACCTCAGTTAACAACCATTTGTTCAGCAACTATTCGAAGTTATGGCAGCACTGAATGAATGGTACTTACGCCCAGTCCCCGAAGTTATGGCCATTGCACTGTCCCCTGGTCACATGATCCAAATTCAGGTGCTTGGCAGCCCACCTGCACTTATGACCGCAGGGGTGCTTCAACTCTCTCCCACCTATCTCACCCCATCTCTGCCCTTTTGGCTGGCCTGCACAGCAGCATTCCTCAGTGGCGGTGGCGGCACCAGTGGGGCTGAAGTAGAAGCCTGGGGCCTTTAACGGTCTCAGCCGGCTGCAGCTACCCTGGGCCTCTACTTCAGCCCCAGTGCTGCCAGCACTGTTGAGGAGCGCTGCCTCAAGCCCCGTGCCATGGCCAGCCACCCCAGCGCCAGAGCACAAAGCTCCAGCTGCCTCTGCAGCCCTGCACTCCAACAGCCCTGCCATGGTCAACTGACCTTGTCTTCTTCCTCCTGCTGCTGACAAGGCATGCCCAGCCTGGCCCTATGCGAGGCAGCTGCTGACCATGCCAAGCCTTTTTCCTGAGGTTGCATGCACTGTTCTCCAAATCTGCGTGGCCTTCTCATGAAGCTTCAGAAGGCCTCAGAAACCTCAGAAGCCTTCCGAAGTATCATGAGAAGGGCGCACACGCTTTGGAGAACAGCATGCATGATTTGGAGAAAGGCAGGTGCAGCCTTCTCATGAGGTTTTGGAAGGCGGTGCAGGGCTTGAGGTGGCACTCCTTGGCAACGGTGCCAGTGCTGGGGCTGAAGTAGAGGTCCGGGGGCAGCGGCAGCTAGCTAAGACTGCTGAAGGCCAGGGCTTCTATTTAGCCCCAGTGCCTGCTCTGCCACAGCTGCCAAAGAATGCCACTATGCAGGACAGCCAAAAAGGCAGAGATGGGGGGGATACAGGCGGGTGGGGAGAGTTCAAGAGGAGGCAGAGGAGGCAGTACCTTACCAAGACTCGGGGCTGGGAGGGACCAAGCCAGGAATGGCTTGGATTGGGGTGGGTCCTCGCCTAACGACTAGTCCGATTCAATTAACAATGGCAATGGGGACTGCTGGGATTTCTGTCACTAAGCAATGCAGTCACGTGACGTCGCACTTTACAACCACATCACTTAGTGATGGAATTTCCAGTCCCAATTATCATTGTTAACTGAGGACTACCTGTACAGACAAATGATTTAACATAGCTAAAGATGACCACATGTAAATGCAAGCTTCTACATCATTGATGCTGCAGATTAAGCTTCAACAGTGAACTAATAATTAATAATAATTTATTACACTTGCATGCCACCCAATTCTCAATGACTCTGGGTTGCTCACAACAATCAAATAAAGAAAACAAAATCAATAAAACATAAAATATAAAGATAAAATATGGCAAGCACAATAAAGTGAGGGTCTTACTAATAGAAGTGAGTATGTGTAGCTCAGGGTTGAACTGTGGAGTCCTTGGGGTTCTCTGAGCTTGGCTCTTTTCTTGCAAGAAAACAGCCAAGCTCATGAGAGTCTTACTCTCCCTTGCCAAAGACCTGGGTGAATGTGTCCTTCAGAACATAAAAACAGAAAATACTAGTGCAAAAAGTATTTGTATATATGGCATCTAGCTAAAGTGCTATTGCTTTGAACACTGTTAGCGCTTTATACTTTTTCTCCCTCTTTGGGATAATTCCATGTACCATCTCTGAAGTTTCATTACAAACACAAGTCTATTCTTGTAGAATTTCATATGTAATTCCTATCAACAGAGTTCAATCCTGAGAATGTTTAATGCTTTAGATCTTACTGAAGGCAGCATGCAACAAAAATTATGGTTTGAATTGCTCTCCTACTCTGCCTAACTCTAGAGAAATAAGAAGCAACAGATGACCTATTCAGCCCAAATCATCCTCACATCCTCCCATGTACCTGGCTTATGCAGACCTTCATAACAATCCCCCATTTCAAGATTACCCCTTATAATATTATTAGAATACCTACAAGAAATGCCCCAAAGAAAAACCAAAGGGAAAATTCCAAGGAGTAGGAGTTTTAGGCTGGACTGTAAAAACTTGGAAAACAATTTCCATATTACAGGAAATCCTTGAGTTATGACCATTTGTTCAGCGACTGTTTGAAGTTACAACAGTGCTGCACAAAGGGACTTATGACTGGTCCTCAAAGTTCTGGCTGTTGCAGTGCCCCTGCGGTCACATGAACAAAATTCGGATGCCTGGCAACCAGCTTGCACTTATGACCAGTTGCAACATTCCGCAGACACATGATCACTATTTGCACCCTTCCCTGCTGGCTTCCCCCAAGCAAAGTCAATGGGAAGTTGCTGGGGTAAGTCTCCCCCCACCCGGCCTTTCTTCGCTCCCACACACTGCTCCCTCCTTTCCCCTTCGCTCACACAACCCCTGAGCCCTTTTCCCCCAGACTCCCTGCACTTGCACACACGTATGCACACACCCCGTGCCCTCTTTCCATTGCCTCCCTACAATTGCACACATGCATGCACCCCGTACCCTCTTTCCATGGCCTCCTTGCAATTGCACACACACACGCACATACCCCATGCCCTCTTTCCTTGGCCTCCCTGTGATCTGACACACATACCCCACGCCCTCTTTCCATGGCCTTCCTCTGATCACACATATGCCCATACTTTGTGCCCTCTTTCCATTGCCTTCCTGCAACTGCACACACCCTGTGCCCTCTTTCCTAGGCCTCCCTGCACTCACACACATGCACTGGCCTTTCTGAGCTTGCAATGCAGTGAGCACCCCCTCCCCTGACTCGCATGCAGCCTATGCTGGGCCTCCCAGTGCTTCCCCCACCCCCCTACGGCACCCCCATGCTCCTTACCTGGGACTCCCTCTGCTTCCCGCTTAACAACCCATGCATCTTGGGTTATGCTGACAGCCAGGACTGCCGTTGCTAAATTATGTGATCACATGACATTGCACTTTATGGCCGCATCGCTTAGGGACGGCAATCCTGGTCCCAAATGCAGTTGTAACTCAAGGACTACCTGTACTGCCAAAAAATCTTAGACATGTCTATGAAGTCACCAGGAACAGAGCTAGACATGAAGGAGACTTTCCCTTACAAGCAGCAGACAAAAGGCATGATGAGCTGCCCAAATATTATTCAAGAACAAATAAGGCAGGAGTGCTACAGGTACAGTGGGGCAAAAAAGTATTTAGTCAGCCACCAATTGTGCAAGTTCTCCCACTCTGTGTAAAGGAAAGAATGAATGGGGCCATGTATCGTGAGATTTTGAGTGAACACCTCCTTCCATCAGCAAGGGCATTGAAGATGAAACGTGGCTGGGTCTTTCAGCATTATGATGAAAATTACAAGATGTGTCCCCCTGCTTAAGCCAGTACATGTCCAGGCCCGTCTGAAGTTTGCTAGAGAGCATTTGGATGATCCAGAAGAGGATTGGGAGAATGTCATATGGTCAGATGAAACCAAAGTAGAATGTTTTGGTCTAAACTCAACTTGTTGTGTTTGGTATGATGAAAATTACAAGATGTGTCCCCCTGCTTAAGCCAGTACATGTCCAGGCCCGTCTGAAGTTTGCTAGAGAGCATTTGGATGATCCAGAAGAGGATTGGGAGAATGTCATATGGTCAGATGAAACCAAAGTAGAATGTTTTGGTCTAAACTCAACTTGTTGTGTTTGGTATGATGAAAATTACAAGATGTGTCCCCCTGCTTAAGCCAGTACATGTCCAGGCCCGTCTGAAGTTTGCTAGAGAGCATTTGGATGATCCAGAAGAGGATTGGGAGAATGTCATATGGTCAGATGAAACCAAAGTAGAATGTTTTGGTCTAAACTCAACTTGTTGTGTTTGGTATGATGAAAATTACAAGATGTGTCCCCCTGCTTAAGCCAGTACATGTCCAGGCCCGTCTGAAGTTTGCTAGAGAGCATTTGGATGATCCAGAAGAGGATTGGGAGAATGTCATATGGTCAGATGAAACCAAAGTAGAATGTTTTGGTCTAAACTCAACTTGTTGTGTTTGGGTGGGAGAACTTGCACAATTGGTGGCTGACTAAATACTTTTTTGCCCCACTGTAGCTTGTTTAACTCTTTGGGAAGCATGACTGTCTAATATAAACATTTATCATTAGCACTATCCAGGAAATCCTTTTCACAGATGCTGTATTCTGATTACATGCCCATTATTACCATTTGTATGATTTAGGGTAGTAAATGTTAAAACATTGGTACATGTAATCATAAACCTCCCAAATCACCTGCAGTTGGGGCTTTGTGATAATTACCCAAATAGGAAACCTTACTTGTCATTGTTTTCCATTTGATGTTGCTCCTTTCTATGTGATTGGATTGGCAGGTTTTTGGAAGGCTCTCTATTTTCTAGGAGATATTAAAGAAAAAGAAACAAATTATTTGTTTTTTGTGTCAGTAAAGAACATTTCCCAATTTGCTGACAAGACAAAGACAAGCTCCTCTCATATTACTGTTAATTTTTTATTAACAAAGTAAAAACTTATTTTGCTGGCCCGAAGACTCCAAAAGTAAAAAAAATAAAATAAACAAAACCTGCACTTCTTTCTGCTTCCTCCCTCCCTCCCTCCAGAATGAAAAATCTGGACTATATTTTTAAACACTGGAAATCTGAAGTATCTAAGGGTTAGGACGCTTCTAATGGAGCGGATTCTTAACATCAGCCAGCCTGATTCCACTCACAGTTACTGTGTCGTTATCCCAGGTAGAAGGACCGGGATGAGCAAGGAAAATAACAAAATATTCAATTTATCTTAGGTTTGAAAAAGTGTCAAAAAGAATATAGAAAAAACAAGAGGATTAACTCATATTTTTGAAACCACTGAAAGGAAGCAGTGCACAGACTTTGATTTTAACTCAAGGTCATCACAACATACAATATGCGCAATCTCACCAAATAATGGGAAAAGCCCTAGGAAGGTCAATCCTTAGTAACTGGATAGTTTTTTTAACAGTCAGTCTCACTACAAGATGAGATAAGATAGGCAAGCATTTTCTACAGAACAGAGGTTTAAATCCGACAATAGTGGCTTTTAAGTTAGGGATGTATTTTCCCCCTCTATCCATAGAAAGCCCAAAGGACCTGAAAAAGGAATTCAACATTCTAGAGAACTAGAAGATTTTGTAGCAGGGAGACGGAGAAATGTTCTTCCCCCAAACCCAAAACCTATCCATTACCCAAGAAATCAGTATAGAGCATGGAGGGGATCCAGGCGATAGTTACTTCCCTCTCTTTTATTGCTTTCTTCTCTGGCTAAGATAGTTTAAAATCAATCCTTTTCTGATGGGAATTTAGAATTAGACATGTACAGCATGAAAGGGTTCTGCATGCTTTTGCCCAGCTTTGACTAGTGCACCAGAGTGTTATTGGAGCCAATGCTCTGGCAATAGGCACTCATGCCCTCATCACAATACACTTGAATTACTGCAATGCACTCTACACAAGGCTTCCTTTAAAGAATATTTGGAAGTTTCAGTTGGTCTTATCAAATGTGCCAGCCAGTATGCTGACAAGCAAAAGCCAGGTCAGCTAACACTTTCTTTGGTCCCTGAACTGGTTACCTATAAGTTTCTAGGCACAATTCAAAGTTCTGGTTATCACCTATAAAGCATTTCATAGTTTGAGTCCTAGTTACCTTTAGGCCCACCTGTTCCAAACAGAATATGCCCATCCTACGCTTTGGAATCATAAAGCATGCTGCGTGGACCAGGAAACTTGCCTTCTGTGGCTGTCCCAGAGTATCAACTAGTCTTCTCCCAATATAAAAATGGTCCCCTCCTATTAACTTCAGGAGGAAAGTCAAAACAATCCTTTTTTGCCTGGACTTTACTTATAATTCATAAGGGATTGCTGCTGCCACAGGCTATTAATTACCTTTATTTTATTTTCACTCTTTTAATAATGGTTAGGGTTATGGCTTTATCCTTTTATTTATGGAAGCTGCCCAGAGTCACGAGAGGGTTGGCACAGAAATACAAACAAACAAATAGCTGCTGTTGAGCTTCTGGGCAAGTGCTATCCTTTCAGTCTATCTTGATGGCAAGTTGAATAAGAGGCATGCCCATGTCCTGACTCAGGATGTGCTGATCAAGCCATAGCAAAAGTAAGCAACAAATGCGTTCACACTTCACCCATGAGTTAAGTTTAATAACTGTTCATTAAAAACAGTCGCAACACAGTTATATTTACAAAATTGTCATAATTTGCATTGTACTCAAATTAACAGGAAGGGACAATGCAAACCAACATGATTGGGCTCATACCTCTAAATTATTGGGCTCATACCACTCTCAATCCTGGAGCCTGCTGGCTCAACTATTCTTGCTGTTCTGCCCTATCTAAGCAAACACATTGAGGAAGAAGGCAAAGAAATAACCACTGTGTGGTCTATGTCGCCTCCCTCTGGGAAACAGAATGGACTGGGCTTAAAAGAACAGGCAATCAAAATAGTGCTTAGCATAGGGCACATGTAGGAGGTGGAGATCCACTGAGCACAGCTTGCTCCCAAGTTTTGTGAAACCAGATGATCCCAGCTAAGGGAAAGTTAAAGCCTATCTGAAATTGAAAGGGGTGGGTGATAGGTAGAGTAGCAAGTGAATATCATAAGGAGTGTTTTCCTGCACTGCACTGTATCTACTGATCGTATGCATGTCAAAGTCATGGCTTAAAATCTATAACGTTCTGTTATTTTACTCCTTCAAGAATATCTCTTAATTGCAGAACTAAAGTACAGAAAGGCCGCAGGATCTCTTCACGCAACCTTTCTGCAGACTGCAACACATTAGATCCCATCCCAGATTTAAATTTTGTTCTAAAAATGATCAGATGGATCTTATGTTTGATTCATGAATAACAATGGCTTTTATACTGGACCTAATCTGAATGTCCTGAAATCCTAGAAAAGTGTTCTTGAGCGTTTGCAAAATGCGTCCTCCTGATTCATGAATAACCATTATTAGCCTGACAAGTCTGGCACTTTCACATATTTGATACAGAAATTAAGCTTTCTGTCATTAAAGTATTTTAATTACCTTTCTATTTGGTCACTGAATTTGGCACTCATAGATTTCTGCATTTTATGTATAGCCATTAAGAGATTTTCCTAGTAGGGCTAAAAATCAGTTCTTAAAACATTAATGCTTAGAAGTCTAATTAAATTAGTAAGATAGCCTGTTGTTCATTATATCATGCTAATATAGACAGAATAGCAGCTATGGGATCATATATTAATTTATTTTATTTTGTTCTAATTTATTCAATTTAGGCACCTCCCAAACTGACTCTGGGTGGTGTATAATAAAACAAAATAGAATAGAAAACACAATATAATAATTATAAAAAGAAATAAAGTGATAAAGAATAAGAACTGATGGCTAACACACCAACACTCTCAAACAAATCTGACAGGGCCCTGACCACCCTAATCCAAGGCCTGGGAGAACAGCCAGATATTTAAGGCCTTCCGGAATGCCATCAGGAGGAACCTCATTCTAGAGTTTGTGTACAGAGTTTGTGTAGAGTTGAGATACAGAAAATACAGGTAGTCCTCAGTTAACGACTGCCCTGTTTAGCAACCATTTGAACTTATGATGGCACTGAAAACGTAGCTTTATGACCAGTCCTCAAACTTACAACCATCACAGTGTCCCTGCACTGATCACAATTTGGGTGCTTTGCAACTGGCACTCATTTACGACAGTTGCAGCCAGCTTCTGACAAGCAAAGTCAATGGAGAAGCCAGCAGTAAGTCGCAAGTTGCAGTCACGTGACATGCTTAATGATCTTGGGTGATTCACTTAATGACCACAGCAGAAATGACGTAGTAAGTCTGGTGCAGTTATGTGATGTTTCACTTAACAACCGTGTCACTTAGCGATGGAGTTGCTGGTCCCAATTGCAGTTGTTATATGAGGACTACCTGTACTGTAATATGCATTAAAAAGAAATGTGGAACAATAAGAGATTTTTATTTAAAACCTTGTTTCAAAACCATGCTTAAGGCCAAGTAACATGTAAAAACAGAAATGATACAGAAATACTAAATAGAATATCATTTAGGATTGTTAAAGTATGTGTTTCAATTTCCAGCTATGTATTATTACATCTTTATCATAATACAAACATTATTTACTTGTGTTCACACATACTAATAAGAAATTAAATTTAGCATTAACAGTACAATAAGAAAAATAACAGTTTAAAATCTGATTCTTTGGCAACATTTTTGCAGCTTGGTAGAACTAAAAAAAGGAAAGCTATTGAGGCTTTGCTGAATAATTATCCATCTAAATGTCAGCTGCGAACATGTGATTCCTTCTTTTATGTGCAAAGGACTGTTCCCTTATGCCCATATTTAATTACAGTATGGAAATATAGCATACACTCACCTTTGCCTTTGGCACCTAATGTTCAGGGATTTTACTTCAGGCATTTCCCCTTTTTCCCCACTCAGATTACAGGCATATGAAAAATTCAGTCAATCTCTATGTCACATACATGTGTGCTCACATACACAAACTAGAAATCATATAGTTGGTAAAAGCAAAAGCTATGTATATTGTCAATAAAAGATTGATTCAGGAAATCAATATTTGGAGTTTTGAAATTGTAGATTACACTATAGATTATAACATAAATATAGATAAACCTATTATTAATATTCAACTAAGACGACAGGAATTACTGAGTGAATATGATAAATTATTTGATTTATGTAATTGTTTGTTTTTACAAAGTAGCTCTAGCTTGCAATATGATGTACAAAGAGTGCAGATTCTCCTTATTTTAACTGGTCCGCATTAAGCCACAAATTTCTAAATCGTATTTTCTTTCTGTACTTGACTTACAAGATAAAGGCTCCTTCAAATTTTGCTCAACTCCTGGTGATTTCATGGACATGTCCATGTAGTTTTTTGGCCACAATTTTGATACTGAATTTTTCTGAGACTTTTTTTCAACTTCCTAATCTATTATTCCATTTTTGTTATTTTTATTATTTTTAACAACCTAATATTTGCAACACTTGAGTGAAATAGTGAGTAGATTTCAACATTGTGGGAGTTTACCTTCTTTTTCTACTGGTACCTTAAGTTCCTTCAGCTGTAGCTATTGCAAAAGATATACAATTTTCAGTACTGCAGCTGAATAGATGTCACAGTTTTTCTACACAGAACTTCCCTTTGTTAAAGCTATCAAGGAAATCTAGTTGACCAATTATTACTTTCCCTCAGGAGCTTGTCATCTGAATTTTCCCATCTGAGTTTTAAATGAAAAGGAATTCAACCAATCGTTCATGGTTGAATTTAGACAGTACAGTGTTCATTTGAGAACATTCTGCCTCAGGGAAAAAAAAAAAAGTCAGAGCTCCCACAATAAGAAGCCTTCTGCTTAATCAAGAATTTGAAATTGATACATTTCAATTAATCAATTAATAAAGTCAATTAATAAGGGCATGAAATTGTTTTGCAGTTAATTAATTGAAGAGGTAGTAATGTATATTTTTAAACAACCTCTTGAGTTTTGTTCATTTAAATGAGTGATGCACAGAGGATAAAATAAAACTCCTGCAGATTTCTGCAGGGACTCTGCCAAAGGATTCGACAAATATTCATTGTAAAGAACTCATACAAATCTGGCAAGCTTTTTTATTGTCTCCATTGAAAACTGTTTAAGTATGTTTGTGAAACGTTGGCCCTCATAATCCAAATTCACCATTAGGAGGGAGGGCAAAGAATTATAAAGAAACCATAGCTATTGTGTCAGACATAAATTACTAAATCAAGAATTTGACTTGATCAATAACCAGAAAAGTTCTATAGTAAGTAGAAGAGAATATTCAACTAACCATTTGATAGGCCATTTCTCTGCTCTTCTACATGATTACTCCTGGGACTTGAAAATGGACTGATTAGACGTGTTCCTGTTATTGGTGAAAAAGAAATGCCATTTTTCTTTCCTTTTAGTGATGATGTTGCTGGCACCTGGACCAATAAATAACAACAACAAAACATTTTGTATGTGCAAGATAATGCAGTAAAACGCACCATCACATTCTCCCTTTCAATGCTGCTATATTTATTTGTTACTCAAAATAGTTATACCCTACCTATCATGCAATACATCTCCTTGTGATCCACAGAGTTAAATACATTTTAATGTAATACCATAATATAAAACACATTCAGTACACAGTAATATGAAAGCATGTCAGATAACAGGGGCCACAAGCAGCTCAGGATTACCATCAAAAGCTCTAAGTTGCCAAGGTAAATAAAAATATTTGCAGCATGTTCTTGTTTTGCATCAAAATGAACTCATGTTTTAGTTCTTGGGAGAGAGTGGTCTAAGTTATGGGTGCCACAACAGAAAAAGATGGTTTGATCTCAAGTGAATATCTACAAGAAGTGGCACAAATGCCTCTTGATGTGCTTTCAGATTTCTATAGATGCTGGATTAATATCTGAAAACTCCACAAAATCTAGCCCTTATTGTGGTAGCATGTGCCTTCTGAATGACTCCCAAGACAACCCAAAGCTCATCCTATAGCAAGAGTGATATGTCATTTTTTACAGCATAATCATTGTCTTCCCCAGCCTAATCGGTTGTTCAATGAATGCGTATCATAAAGGGGGGCAGGGGGTGGGGAAGGAGAATGCATGAGAAAGATCTATCCCAAATGTTTTAGAAACTAAAAGCAGCACTTTTGAATTACACACAGAAACCTCCTGGAAGCTAATGAAGGGCCCACATATTAACAAAATACTGTTACTTGTATCAAAATGTTGAAATATGGGTGCTGTTCAGGATACTCTATTCCACCCCCTCTCCTCTGTTTCTGGTTTTATCCTAATAGACTGGCCCTATTCTGGCAAAACACTCACTAATCAATATTCCTACTCCACCTCCCAATTAAATGACTTTACTTCTAAAGATTTTCTCTTCTGGCACTTCTGCAAACTGTTGGATTCCTCCAAAATTGCTTTGTTTTCCTCTTGTGCTGCTGGTATTGCTTGATAACATAAGGACTGACACTCAGCTTAAATCACTATTAGTAAACCCACACTGAACTGATTTAGTAAATTCAGACATCAGTAGTGCTTCTACAGTCACAAGCACAGGTAGCATTTGCCGAGAACGATATTTAGCTGGACTTCTGCAGGAACATTTATGGTACAATCCAACACCAAAGTAAGCATGCATAGTATTTTTGTATTAATCTCCTCCTATAAGAAATTAGAAGATCACAATTATTCACTGACTCTGGAAGGAAGAAAAAGCCAAGCCAAACCAAGGAAGTATTAAAATAGATTACTTTGGAAATGACCACCAAAAGAAATAAATGACTGAAAAATAGCCCAGACAGTATTCAACAGTGCAAAAAAAAAGTGGGAAAACAACAAAACAAGGTAGGGGAACAACAAACAATTGTCTCCTACCACACCATGATTCTCACAATTGTAAGTACCCCTTTACTTAAGAACAAGCTTGCGGTATACCACAAGAAAGGAAGACTCTACTTCCTCTTCGAAGGAGGTTGAGGAAAGACAACACTTGCCCACCTCCATATCACTCAACAAGATTTGTTAGTCCTAGCTGCCATCAGCCATGAAATACTGGAGGGAACAGAAAGGAAAGGCAACACAAAAATTACTCTTCAGAGACCATTCCAAAGGCTTTAGGAGAGCTTTGTTTACTTACAGGTTCCACAGCTATGGTCATCTTCATTTCCCTAAACGATATCCAGTCTAAACTTGATAAGCTCATTCAAGTTCTAACAACTCCTGGTGCTAGTAGTTGCCATGCCACAACATCTAACGATGCAAGGTCCTCTACTAAAAATCATTCTGAGGGTACAGCTAAAATACTTCAAAAGAACCAGGCTCTGCTGTCTATCCCTGTTGCTAAGAATTTTACACATCGGAAAGCTGTAATAAATCTGCTAAGCAAGCTCCTAAACTGTCATCCCAAGCATATAGATCTGGATACATATCACTTTTTGCCTAGATTTCTAGGATTTAAAAGAATCTGTCTTCTTTTTCATAAGCCATATAATATACAGAAAATTTTAGGATGCCAGAAACTCTTTGACAAAAATACAGTGTTTTCTCTTCTAGAATTTTTAAAGACACCCCAGTCCAGCCCCTGATTCAACTACACCCTCCTCACTTGCTTAAGGCTACAGCCTTCTGCCAAGAGCAGAGGATAATTACTACAGACCCCAGTGCTTCAGTACAGAGAGAATGCAACCATCCTTCTCTCTCCCCCTTTGACTCATTTTATGCTCAGTTAATAGATCTTCAGAACAGACTCCAGATTTTAAAACAAGTCTTCCCATTGACATCTCTTATGCCTCAGCTGGACCTGACAACTTAGAGGAGAGTGTAACTTCCCAACTCACCTCTTCAATGCAGTTCCAAGAAGGGGAAATTACTGCTATAGGCTTAGACCTACAACAGGACCCAAGAATTAAAGCAGTATATTCCTCAAAGGCAAGATTTTCTCTTGCCTCTGATATTGACTCTGATTTGGACTCTGTTATACAAACTAACTTGTTAGATAATAATGAACTGCCATCCTACCTATTTAGAGGGAACCTGCTAACTTACTCCTCAGATTTTACTCCAGATTTTATTTCAATTTTAAAAAAAGCTGACAACAACCTAGCCCTCCCTAATCAATCTACCACATACCCTCAGAATTGGATGAAGCTGCTAATCATGAGGAAGGGGTCACCAAACACTCAGAAGCTGCTTATAGATGATCCAGAAGACAGGGAACCTTCGACCTCAACAGCTGCATTACAAAGACAGAGGCAGGCTAGTGTATCCCAAACGGAACACACCATACCAGAGAGGTCCCTAAGAGAGCCGGAATCCTCCTCCTGCATCTCCTCTGCATATGCTGAACTATTTTTTTTCCTCCTTCACCATCACTTCATAACGAAACATGACTATTTAATATAAAATTCCATATTCCTTTCCACACTTCCATATTGATAAAAATTAAAGCATTTATATATTTTAAAATTTGGATAATGTTTATGGCTCATTTATATATCTTCTGTGCAAGTTTTTATTATTATTAACCTAATATTTATTAAACACTATATAAAGAGCAAGACATTTGTAACCCCAGTCTCACTACTCAAAGTATAGGAAACAAAAAAAAAAGGGGGGGGAGTATATGTAGAATGAAAAAATGAAGAACATTCAGGATTTAATCCTTAGAATTACAAATTAAAGTTTCTGTCATCTACATATATTCTCAAAACAGGTCACAGAAGCTACCTCTGGATGAGATATATTATAGCAATCTTGTAATTTGAACACTTCCTTGCAACATTTAACAGTACGGTTTTCATTCTAAGCAAAAAGGTGGCTCTCCCAAGTCATATAAAGTTTTCATTATTAATTTTACCTCTGAATTTTGAAAAACTAATGAAATTATAAACTTGCAGCAAGAGATATGATTCAGCAAACATCCCAAATAATTATTCTTAAAATAAACATTTTCCCCCTTTTAAATTTCCATTTCAGAAGAAAAAACAGCTTTAGGGTAGAATAAAATAATTTCAAGCTGGATCACTTGCTTCCAAAAACACCCCTCTGACTTAGGAAGCAGATGCAAAATTACAGTCACAGCTGTATTACAGCACATAATGAATAATGGAAAATGAAATTGCTAATTACATTGCTAATGATTGTTATTACATTTTATTTGTCACTTTTGTTTCAATTCAGACAAAGAAAAAGTATATAGATTTTAACACTGTCAAATTTTCAGTTTAGCTAAGCAATAGTGGGTCTTCTGTAAAATAAAAAAATGACATGTGCAGACAAAACTGGAGGTTCATTTTATTCACATTTTGACATGTTTCCCCATTATTTCCTCTCCCACAAGCTACCTGCCTTAGCTTCACAGCAACACCCACAATTGGTATTGGAAGAAAATAAACTGGCATATGTCATGGCACAGTGGGTCTAGAAATACACAATGCCACATTTTACCAGTGAAAGAGAACAAGAGAGAAACACAGAAACAGTATAATTTCATTTTTATTGTGATAACTATATGGGAAATTTATTATAATGTTACAGTGTATCATTTTATGTTAAATTACTTCTCTCAGCTAATTACATTCTCAACATAAAAATGTCTTTAATGTTTTGCTTTCAATTTTGCAGTTTATAATATGCAGATTATAATATTATCGTAATTGCATATTGTTATATGTATATTCAGATAGCAGTACATTTATTTCACCAATTATAAAGCTAATTTCTAATAAACAATGTCACAAAAGACCTTAATTCATTTGGTGCTGGAGAGAGATTTGTATATAACAAAACAAAGGACGCTACTATCGTTCCTTAGTTATAGTCAATTGTTTCATGCAAAGTCAGAATATTATACAAGAATAGGATTGCCCTCAGAGATCTCCAACAATCACTTCTATATTTTCAGAGGTATATTATCATTGATTGCTGTTTATGAGAATTTCACTGAAATGTTGATCATTTATACATACACACACATATGTACACACACATCCTATAAAATAATTTAATCACAGGAACAGAAACACAAAAATCTTACTTTTTCTGTGATAAGCTTTTCCAGCTTCAAAGCTCTTTTAGCACTAGAAAAAAAGGAAAGCAAGTTTTATTACTGCTCAAAAGGAAATTTTAATCTAAGGACATCCTTTACTAGTAGCTACCATCCATATACAATCAACATTTTTTTTACAATATAACAGCTAGCCTCATACAAGGATACATGAACAAGCTGGTAAGTACTGCTTTGAAAACTAATCACATTTGTGCCTATTTCTCACATGTGGCATACAACCTGGAATCAACACTTTGATTTGGATACGAATATCAGACTACCCAAAACATATTTATGAACTATAAAGTACTAATAACGAACATAATTATACAGAATTGCATAGTAACTTACCTTGTTATTTTTCAAGGTGAAAAAAGCAATTCTTATATTTTAGCTCTTAACATGATTCAGTGCTGCTAGACTATGTCTGAACTAAGGAACAGATGCTCTATGCCTTTACAGGTCCCTAAACCATAAGAAAATATTTTCTCGCATTCTTCACTGTACTGATTCAAGAACATGCCAGCTTCCTCTGTAAAATCTGTTCTCCTGAACTAGATGACCAGCTGTTAATGGCAATACTAGGAATGAAAAACTGAATATTTATAATACTTTACATCGTACAGCTGTCTTCTAAAGAGCAGTCATCAAAATTTTATTGAATGCAGACTAAATACTTTAAAGAAAGAAAGGTCAACATAAATTAAGCCTATTTTTCCCAGAGATAATTCCAACTTTCAATGTACCTTCTTAAGTCTTAAAGAACAATATTTAAAGGGGTTTTTTTTCCTGTAAAGCAACTAAGAACCTTTAAAATCATTCAATAAGTGCATCAGAATATTATTTTAGATTAGACAAGGTTTACAGAGGGTTTTCATTTCAGAAAAGAACACTGCAGGTATATTGGAAATAGGCCATTTTGATTTAATAACTACAATGCTAAAAAGAGTAAAACTCAAAAAAATTACATGCATAAATGGCACTTTCGAGCAACGCCAAAACCCAAGCTAACCTCCCACAAAATATTTTTACTTTATTCTTTGAGATGAAACATATGAGGAAAGTTTAAGAACATCTTTGAAGTATGACTGTATAATGCTAGCTTTGATTTTAGAATTATTTTGAAGAGGGATTACTGAAAAACATTTTTGTCTATAAAAGAAACAAGCTATGTTATATGGTATTTACATTTTTCATGTTAAAAGCCGCTGATATTCTTGCCAAGAGACAATCAAAGCTGAAACAATTTGACAAAATTCTTAACAGCGTGTCCTTTTTTAAATATAGTGCCCTGTATTGCTTAAAGAATGCAGACTCCATTACATCTTCTATCCCAGTGGCAGCAAGGAACCATTGTATACATTAATACATTCACTCTGCAAAGATGCTCTAGGGGACCATGTATTTGCATTCTACACTAAGGCATGTTATGATGGAAGTTTTTATGATGGACTTCAAAGGAAGCTGGAAGCAAAAGTACAGTGGAATCTGGACCCAAGATAGTTTTATGATTAGGATAAATGGAAAACTACATGAAAATCCCATTAAACTATAGCAACCTGGAAAAAAATATTGAGAAAAAACGGCAGACCGGTCAAGCAGTATGCTATTTAAATTCTGTCAGAGACTTTGGGTGGTAGCAGAGTTACAGCATACAGTACCCAAATTTTCTTTCCTCTGCCTGTGGAGATGCTGAAAACTTGGAAATAATTGAGTTCATTAGCTATTCACAGTCCAAGAAAGTATCACTTTACCAGGAGAAGCAAAATCATGTCACCACATCTCTGTTACACAAATATTTTTAGGTGCATATTTCCCCAGTGCAATAATAGTAAAACTCAACAGTTGCAGAGACCTTTACAGATTTAAGAAATGACATTTCTTAAATGGAAAAGTGAAGGGGCATTAATTCAAGCTATATTGTGAAAAAGAAAGCATAATCTGAGAAGCATTTATTACATTTCTTTTGTATTGCTCTTCTATATCATACAGTTACAGGAGGAGAAAATACATTTTATTTAAGCAGGACTGGTTTATCATTCAGATCAAATAGCCACATGGGACAGTAAATCAATGAAATGTATAATAGTGTGCATTATGTGTTTTGGCTAACGCTGCCTACTAGTTGGAAAGAGCTTATTCTCATCTTCTCAAAAGTTAAGTCCCACTGAATGTAATGAGACATACTTCCATGTAAAAACACATAAGCAATGCCAAAGCCCAAGCTAACCTCCCGCAAAATATTTTTACTTTATTTGTTCTTTGAAATGAAACATGAGGAAAGTTTAAGGACATCTTTGAAGTATGACTGCATAACGCTAGCTTTGATTTTAGAATTATTTTGAAAAGGGATTACTGAAAAACATTTTTGTCTATAAAAGAAACAAGCTATGTTATATGGTATTTACATTTTTCATGTTAAAAGCCGCTGATATTCTTGCCAAGAGACAATCAAAGCTGAAACAATTTGACAAAATTCTTAACAGCATGTTCCTTTTTAAATATAGTGCCCTGTAAATATAGTGCTCTGTAAAAATATATAAGCCTGATTTAATTATTATAATTTATTTGACACATTTGTCACATTTATAGAGCTGCCCATCTCACACAAAGCGACTCTGGGCGGTGTACAACAATAGGTTTGATGACATTATAGTTCCCCAAGAAATCCAGTGAAGTGAAAGTCAAAACTATCTTGTTCAGCTGATTTCAACAGAACCTATCTTAAATTTGATTAACAAGCCTGGAACCATTTTCTGTCTTCTGAGCATAGTGTCAATTGTGATACACAATTCTTACATTATGTGGTAAGGTGCACATATACCCACTTATTAAAGCAGGTGTGACGACATAATATTGGAAATTTGGCATACTTCGAATGTTTTAATTTGTCTCCTACCATCTCTCAGCAGCAAGTCTGAAACATATTAAATTATAAATCATGGTATCTTCATTTCTTTGGCTCTCTTAGGAATCAGCAACCCAAGAAAAGCAACATATAATTGTTCTGCTCATTAAACTTCAAGGAATCTACCATTGTTATATCCATATGTCTACATGAAAAACACGTAGAATCCGCATTACGTGAAAATCATCTAGAATCCATATTTCTATGAGAATCATATAGCTTAAACACTACTCTTTAAAGAGCATCCATATTGGATTTTTAAAACCAGTTGTATTCTTTCTTCCTTTAATATGTATTGCTATACAGGTAGTCCTCATTTAATGACATTAGGGACCAGAAAATTGGTCATTAAGCAGGGTGGTCATTAAGGAAGTCACCACATGACCGGACCCAATTTTACAACCATTTTATGACAGTCATTAAGTGAATCAATGCAGTCGTTAAGCGAATCATGTGGTTGTTGAGCGAATCACATGGTCATTAAGCAAATCCAGCTTCCCCAATGGACTTTTTGCTGGAATTCGCTTAACAGCCATGTGATTTACTTAACAATCATGATGATTCACTTAACGACCATTGTAAAAACAGTTGCAAATCACGATCATGCAAACAGTTGATGGTTTGCGACAATCATGTGAGTACAAGTTGTAAGCACTTTTTCCAAGGCTGTTGTAACTTCAAACTGTCATTAAATGAAAGGTTGTTAAGCGAGGACTACCTATATACTGTATATAGGTAGTCCTCGCTTAACTTATTGATTAGGGCTGCATGTAATTCTGAATCCCTTTATTAGAGCTCCCCCAACCTTCAGCATATGACCCCCCCCCCAAAAAATTGATGGCATAGTTTTCCATCATTTTGAGCAGGTGTGTTCAACTTCTATTACTCTGATGTTCACACCAGATTTTGTGTAGCATGTCCAGGGCTACATACCCAAAGTGGGCGGAGCCAGCATCTGCCTTCTAGGAGGGTTCAGGAGAGTTAAGGAATGAAATGGATACTTTAAGCTGCAACGCTATGGGTTCTCAAGAGAGGCCATTCTGATGCTGGGCTACAAAGGGGCACTCACTGCACTCAAGCAAGGCACTAAAGATTTGGAAGCCCAGTCAGATCAATCTGCCCTTCCCAAGAAAGTTTTCCTGAGCAGTCAACCCCTTTTTTTTAGGCCAGCACAATATTTAAACCAAATAACGGTCCCTAAACTCTAAAGAGCACTAACATTAGCACTTTTCAACCTCCTCCCAACAGCTGTTTTCAAGAGCAAATACAAAAATTCCCTTAGGAGTTAAGATCATGTCCTTGTGAAAAAGGATCCACTGAATCCATAGTTCATGTCCTGTAGCTCCTTCTATAAGGATGCAAAGGCTCACTTCATAACTCCCTATTTGGCATAGTACTCAGACAATTCTGATTTATTTTTGGTAGTTACTTTTATCAGACCTGTATGATTTTATTTCCTTGAATGTAGTTAAATTTTGTTACACCATCGGTAAATTAGACATACCCTGATTGCCTCAATGACTAGTTATAATTTTATGTTGTTCTCAATTTTATTCAAAATAGAAACTTTAATTATTTTATTAACTCACATAATTCTGGTCAGTGACCATAATAGATTATTACTATCACTATTTCTATGGATATATTAAGCTTCTGAAATACCTCAGGCATCCAGTCTACCTTATAATCCCTCACCAATGACCCTACTCATTCGGGGGAAGTCTGAAGTACTAATGGGTCACATAAAGATTTTAGGCCACACTTTCTGCAGCCCTGATTTTAAAGAATGACAAAAATGTATTGTAAATCCTGAAATAGATTAAAAATAAAAAATCTTCACACTATCAGGGCAAAATAGAAAATCCCTGTCTATCACCTGTGTAATGGAGCAATTTGCCTTATTACTCCAGCAATGTAAGTCCTCAGCTCTCCTCCATCATGTTAAGTAGAACTCCCACTCAGTAAAAATTGACTACTTGGTGAACAAATAGAGGTCTGTTTAAACAGTTCACATATGTACATGTGCCTGAACATTTTTAGAGCTCTAGTTAATGAATAGGTAAGCACATTATGGCTGGGTTCACATAATACTTAAAGCCAAAATCAAACAAGCTATCACACAGATTATGGTTTAGCATTTTGTATGAACCCAAACTTTGATGTTGCTCACCTTTTACTTTAGTTGCACATCTTACCTGGATATTACTAGCTATGTTTGCATGCCAGACTAAACCATATTTTAGTATAGCACGTTGTATGAATCCAACCCCAATGGTTAGTTAGCGGTCAATGAACATTATGAGTAAGTTCTACTTACTCTGTGGATCATCATTATTGTATAGAGAGTTTCCACCACCAGCAGCTGTCAAGAGGAATGTTAGGTTCAAAAATAGAAACTTTACACACTGGTTGGGTTCATATATTTTGGTAAGCCATGATTTATTTAATCATGGGTTGCTAAAGATCCTAATGACATAGTGCTAAGCCACTATAGTTTAATGTGATTGTGAACCCAAAGAACAGGATTAACCTTATGTATCCTTTATTATGCCAAATATATAATAAAGTGGAACTTTTCTGAGATAATATGAATAAAGTCTTAAAAGTAAATGTTTAGGACAAGCACTTAAGTGGGAATTCTCATCAATGCTAAAGTATTATAAAATGAAAAGGGAAGTGGAAAAGAATGCTTAAATTCACACTAGGAAACAAAATGACACATATAAACAGCATTTTTTTTACCTTTTCAAGTAAAAAAAAAAAGGAACGCACAGCCTAGACATAAATCTCAGCATGACTTTTGTCTGATTCATCAAGATGAAACCTGTTTGGCTCTCTAACAAGCATGTGGAAAACAACACTTTTCACCTGAAAATCCTATTCCACATGCTCACTGCCAGCTTTTCACAATCTGGTGCCCTTTAACTTTCGTTCCCAGCCAGCAAACCCAATGCCACTTGGGCTAGAAATGATTGGGCTGGTAATCCAATACATTTGAAGCAGTGTTTCTCACCCTTGGCAACTTTAAGACTTATGGAGTTCAGTTCCCAGAATTCAAGAGCCAGCCCTAAGAAGCAGGCAATGGCAACCGCTTCCGAAAAACCTTGCCAAGAAAACTGCAGGGAGTTGTCCAGGCATTCTCCAAGAGTGAAAAACTGATTTAAGCCGCGTACACACACATACAAAAATTAGCACCCTACCTACAAAAGCAATACCTAAATGACCTCCACTCTCAGTGTAGGTGTAGTTGAAAACATTAAGGCAATAGGGAGAAAGGTCCCCGTCCGCCCTCCGACTAAGAGATACTCTTAACTGACACTCCGTGGCACTATCAAACCCCGTTTGTCTTTGGTTGCGTTCGCAAGACCCACTGAGCAGGATTCGCAGAACGCATTCGGTTGAAATGAGTCGCACAGACCCGACCTCGGCCCTGCACTGCCAGCGAATCCTCCTGCAATGGTCCCTCTCTGCCGCCCGCCAGTCTCCCTCTCCAGCTCGGGACTTACGGCGGCATCGGGACCGCTCCCAATCTCTTCCTCACCAGACTCCCGCCCGAAGTCACAACGGTGCACCACTCAAAAGGGGCCGGCCAGGAACAGCGGCCCCCAGTCTAAAGGAGGCGTTCCTTTTCCTGGCTTCGCATGGCGAAGCGAGTTGCTAGGTGGGCACCACAAAGGAGAGCGGCTGCAGCAGGTAAATCAGGCGCTCCAAAGCTTCAGCGGCCAGGTCTCTTATATTCTGCTCTCTCTCTCTCTCTCGCCCTTCCTTGCTTTGTCTTTCTCCTTGCCCTTTTTAAACACCATCAGATTCTCACCAGGATAAAAATTCCCGTGGTTATTGCAAGCGAGCAGTGGCAAGAACCAGAAAAGAGGCAGTCATAAAACTCTGGATTTCATCTTTGGAAAGATCAGCAGAGACAACGAAAATAGCCAGAGTTGGGTTGTTATTTTTCCTTCAGTGGTTAAGACAAATTCTGCTAAGCTGTAAGCTTTCCTGAAAAGAGTTGCAGTCTCTTAGGTCTTTCCGTGTTTCACAGATGAAAATAAGGTTGCTGTCTTCTATTTTTAATACAGTACACTTTCTCCTTTCATTCTCTATTTTTAAAAAAAGTTCCTAGAAGACCAGTGTCACTCTGCAGCTATTCATCTCTCAGTTCTGTCAAAGATGAGCATTTTATTGCATTATTCTTCTAATACACATGTGAGCACACCAACAAATATTTGAAAGACATCATGAATAACTGAAAGGAAAACTAGTGATGGTTTTTTACCAGGTACTGGATATGAAAATACAGGCTTGGTAAACAAAAAGTGAATGTTCTCAGTTATCTCAGATATCTGGAGGGTGGCTATGCTTATGCTCAGAGAAAGAAAAACTTCTCTGTAGGTGTCTTGAAAATGTCTTGTTTTGGCTTACTGTACCAGTTCCAAGTGTAAATACTAATTTTGTAAAAAGGATTTTGGAACTGATCTCTAACAAAGATTAAGTTTTTCTTACTGCATAAGTAAGCCATTGCCTGTGTGCTGTCTTAGGAATTAGCTGTTTCCCTACAGCCAGTGGGATCTGGGATAGGTTTTGAAGAGAGGCACTGTAGCCGATGGCCAAGGAAACTACAAAAATAGTTGCTTGCAATACTAATATTAATTAAATGATAACAATATACAGTGGTACCTCGGGTCACGAACACTTCTGTTCACGAACAATTCGTTCACGAACAGCACCATTCGCAAAATTTTGCTTTCGTTCGCAAACTCCGCATCGGGTGACGAACAGGATCTCTGGCCATTTTCCCTGCTGTGACACGTGGTTGTGGCTTCCTGTAGGGAGGGGGACTCTCCCTCCAAGCAATAACCGCCTCCCCACGTGCCTTCCTGTCCTCCACGCCAGAAGCCGCGTCGAGCAAGGTTAGCACTCTCTCTTCATACTGTACTGTACTGTACTTTGTTTCATATTTTTGTAGTTTAAAAAAAATG